AGACCCTTTCATTTATTTAATTTCCAACCAAATAAGAAATTAAGTACAACATCTTAAGTCATTCATTTTTAAGTGTCAATAAAAAAGCAGGAAGCATATATTTAACAGAAAATGACACAGAAGCCTCAACCTCTAAATACAACATCATTTTTTAGTATTTAGTATTTAGTGTCCACTCAGCCTTTGTTACAGCATCCATTCTCTTCAGGAGACTCACTTTCAGTTCTTTAAAGAAATCTGCAGGGATATTTTTCCACACCTCCAAAGTTCAGTCTTAGAAGTTGGTTGCAATTTCTGCTTCACTTGATCCCAAACACATTCAGTGATGTTGAGGTCTGGGGTGGTCAGTCCATTGTTTCAGCGTCTTTGTTTGATGTGTCCGTCTCCTTTTCTCAGTGAGGTTCTTCTTGACAGCTACACATCCTTTCAGACCCATAGCGCTGAGTTGTCTTCTCACAGTGGAAGGATGGACAGAAACAGCTGTGGATGTTTTCAGATCTGAAGCAGCTTGATTTTCTCCTCTCTCTCAAAGATGAGTTTATCTGACGGGGGCAGTTTTGGTGTCTACCAGGTCTTCCAGGTGGTTGTTAGGAGTTTAATTTTCTCTGTAGCATTTAATCCTTTTTGAACTCCAGTTTGGGAAACTCTGTTTTTCACTTATTTTCCTTTGACTTTCTTCTTCCTTATGTGAGTGGATTTTTTAATTTAATCTCCTTAGAAACATCCCCTGAAAACAATGAATAACCTGAATGTATTGGCTGTTTGGAGGGTGGTCTCTGACTTTCACACAGTGCTGCATTTGATAGATAATAAGAATTACATCCATGATAAAGCTCAGAAAGTTGCTGTGCTCCTGTTACCAGGTTTCCTGTCCTTTAGCACATTCTGGAAGCGTGTTTTCTGTCTGGTCAGCATTTCCAATACAGTGTAAGGCTCACCGCTTGGTGAACAAGATGTAAGATAAAACAAAACAGCTATGTCAGGTTTGTAGAACACGCCTTTAGCACAGAGCAGCAGCACTCAGGTAGCCTGGGTTCATTAACCCCTTAACCCCTTAGGTCTGTCAGAGGGCCCTAAGTTTCATTACACACTTCTATTACCTAAGAATAGCTCAGCTAGTTTGCATTGAAGTCCCTGTAGTTACTGAATAATAAGCCTTTGTATGTAAGAAGGCTGGGATTTTAGGGGATTAACCTTATTAATGGTAATAAATATTGTCTGACACCCTGATATTTAGGCAGTACTGTATCATGACATTGCACTGTATGTGTCACCCAGCACTATTATTTAGTGGCGGATCTAAAACATCTGGCCAACATAAGCCGTAAAACATTGAATGTCACCTTGTAAAGCTCTGCTGTCAGGAATGCATCACAAATCCAGTTAAGCTGATAACACTAAAACCCAGTCAAGACACTTTAAATAAGCTAGTACCGCCCCCTAGTGTTCAATACGAGACTCACTCACCCTCAGGAAATCCCTCAGAATATTCCTGCTGAACTGGGGGGAATTCTGATCATTGCAAAGTCTTTTAGGGATGGAAAATAGCTGCCACTGTATGAGGGACAATATCAGTGATTACATGTTGAACTCTAATACAACAACCACCTCCATACTGTTCTGGTAACTAACTTTAGGTACACACTTAAAAAAGATGGTTCCTCAAGGGTTCTTTAGTAAAGAAAATGGTTCTATTTAGAACTATGAACACTTAAAGTACGCTTTGCATGATTAAAGGGTTCTTTGCATCGTCCTTCAGACTGATGGAGAATGTGTGGAGATTCGTTCTACGTATATAGAACGTTTTTGAAAAGGGTTCTATATAGCACCAAAAAGATGCTATGTAGAACCTTTTTCAAAAAGAACCACCTACAGCACGTTCTCTGTCAATCTGAAGAGCCCTTTAACGATGCAAAGAACCCTTTAATCATGCAAAGAGTTCTTTAAGTGTTCATAGTTTTAAATAGAACCATTTTCTTTACTAAAGAACCCTTGAAGAACTCCAGAATTCCAGAACCAGAATCACTTTATTTTTACGAACACTTAAAGAACGCTTTGCATGATTAAGTGGTTCTTTGCATGCTGAAATCGTTCTTCAGATTGATGGAGAATGTGTTGTATATGGTTCTATATAGAACCTTTTTGAAACTGGTTCTATACACACTCTTAAAAAAGATGGTTCTTCAGGGTTCTTTAGTGAAGAAAATGATTGTATATAGAGCCCCAAACACCTGAAGAACCCTTTGCCTGTTTAAATGGTTCTTTGCATGGTGAAATGGTTCTTAGGATTGGTGAAGAATGTGTTGTAAATGGTTCTATATAGAACCTTTTTGAAAAGGGTTCTTCTGTTGTTACAATGTCAAACCTGTAACAACAGAAGATCCCTTTTTGGTATGCAGACAATAGACGAACCCTTCAAAAAATTGTAAAAATAATAATAATAATAAAAAATTAGAAGACATCATATTGTTGTCATAATCCTGTCAGAAATCTGAGTCTGTAAGTTTCTCTAGAATGAACCGTTTCACGTCAAACCACTCTGAATGACTTTTTTACGTCTTAACAGCTGAATTATGCAGACATTGTTAAAAATCTGTACATATTTCCCTTTAAATAACTTCAGGACTATATAGAACCTATATAGAACTATAGAGAACCTTCTCTATAGCACCAAACATGGTTCTTCTATTGTTACAATGTCAAGCCTGTAACAATAGAAGACACTTTTAGACATACACACAATAAAATAACTCTTTTCAAATACACACTTTAGTCCTGATATGGGCGGGGTTAGTTGGCCGATTGATTTTGAGGTTGGTTGGCACATTTCAGTGTAGAACTATTGTCACAAATATATCACTGCTGTCGGAAGAAAACCTCATATCCCCATTTTTGTCGTTCTTCAGTTTTTGACATAATTTGAAAACGTCTGTTGCCCTTTACATTGTGTGTAAATTTCATGATGAATGGACCAACAGAAATGACCCAAAATGACTTGGAAAAAACTCTCCTGTAAAGTTACCATTCTGGAGATACAAGGTTTTCTTCTGACAACAGCGATATATTACTACAGTAATAGCTACTAAACAACACGACTGAAATGCAGTGTAGAGCTAATTCACTGTTTATATTGAAGCTACATTAGAATTTGTAATAAGTTGTGTTAGCACTAGGCTGAAGGCCATTTGCTGATAAGTGAGTCTATCTCAATATGAAAACAGCACACATTTGAACTTATTTCTATATTAAATATTCATTTAAATTTATTATTTTGTTTTATTGTATTTTGAACAAGGCAAAATTTTATTCACTAAATAGAAAAGAAGTATTAAATTGGTAAAGTGGCCCTGTTTTATTTTCCTTTTTATTATTCTTATTGTTCTTCAGTACGAGCCAATGATAAAATAACTTAAACATTTCTGATGTTTACTTGATTAAAAATGTTGTCATTGAGTGCTTTTATTTGTGGTGTGGATTATTTCGATTTGTAGCTTTGTTTATTGAGACTTCAGTCTATTAACATTGTGCCAACCATCCCCATAGCGCATGCCCACGTTGGGGCTGGTTGTCACAGGTCCACAGCATGAATCACTTCTGAGGTAAAAGGGGAACTCCACTAACTTTTAAAAATGCCTGTGTGATTTGATTATTAGGATGTAAACAAAGCCATCCAGAGTGGTTTAATATGAAATGCTTCACTGTAGAGAAACTTCCTCAGTCAGAATTGTTTACAGTGGTGGTGATAGGAACCAGACGTCTGAAGAGTTTAATGCCTCTAAAAGCTCCCTCACAGAAATGGTCATGAATACACTGCCTGATAAATAAGACATTGTTCTGAGAAGATTTTGGCTTAAAAAAAGATATATATATATATATATATATATATACTTACTCTATAGGAGCACTTTGTAGTTCTACAGTTACAGACTGTAGTCCCTCTGTTTCTCTGCATACTTTGTTAGCCCCCTTTTACTCTGTTCTTCAGTGGTCAGGACCCCAACAGACCCTCACAGAGCAGGTACTATTTGTGTGGTGGATCATTCTCAGCACTGCAGTAACACTGACGTGGTGGTGGTGTGTTAGTGTGTGTGGCGCTGGTCTGAGTGGATCAGACACTGCAGTGCTGCTGGAGTTTTTAAACACCTCAGTGTCACTGCTGGACTGAGAATAGTCCACCAACCAAAAATATCCAGCCAACAGCGTCCTGTGGGCAGCGTCCTGTGACCACTGATGAAGGACTAGAGGATGACCAACACAAACTGTGCAGCAGCAGATGAGCTATCGTCTCTGACTTTCCATCTACAAGGTGGACTGACAAGGTAGGAGTGTCTAATAGAGTGGACAGTGAGTGGACACAGCGCTGCTGTGTCTGATCCACTCGTACCAGCGCAACACACACTAACACACCACCACCACGTCAGTGTTACTGCAGTGCTGAGAATGATCCACCACACAAATAGTACCTGCTCTGTGAGGGTCTGTTGGGGTCCTGACCACTGAGGAACAGAGTAAAAGGGGGCTAACAAAGTATGCAGAGAAACAGATGGACTACAGTCTGTAACTGTAGAACTACAAAGTGCACCTATATAGTAAGTGGAGCTGATAAAATGGACAACGAGCGGTGTGGTCATAATGTATGTATTGTCCTTTCATTTTAATTGGTTAATATAAATATCTATGTTTAATTCTTCCAAAACGCAACTGGAGCTGTACATTTATCCCTGTACATGATTTTTTAAATAAAATGATAAAACCTGGGATTTATTAGTGGCCCCTCCCCCCTTTAATGTTCAGCTCTGTAATGCATTTTTACCAGGCGCGTCGTTTTTTTTGCAATTTTGCAATTTAATTTCAGTGATGTGAGGGCCGTTACGAAACGGGCGCGTGCATGGTGCACGGTGCCTTTGTGATGACGGCACCGTGTTTTCGGGCCCGTCGTCATCGCGAGACAGCAGCGGCACGCGCACGCTCTCTCTCGGCGTATTGCTGTGCGCGAGAGCAGGAGGGAGCAGAGAGGCCAGTGTGCGGCAGCGCGAGCGCCCATCCAGCCCTGATGATGACCATGCGGACGGAGCTGTAGGGAGCGCGCGGTCGGTGCTTCTGCGGGGTGTGTGTGTGTGTGTGTTTTTTCGCCGTTGAGCATCGGCAGTGAGGCGGGCACGAGGCGCTCAGGTGCTGCTACAGCGCGCGGCCGAACACACGAGAAGAGGATGGAGTTCAAGCAGCTGGTGGACACGGCGGAGAAATGGTGCTCGGGCAACCCGTTCGACCTGATCTTCGCCGAGGAGGTGGACGAGAGGCGCCTGGACTTTTACGCCGAGCCCGGCATCTCATTCTACGTGCTGTGCCCCGACGGCATGACAGGAGGAGGCGACAATTTTGTAAGTACGAGGATGGGAATGGCGCGCGTGCCGTGTGGAGGGGTGGGGGTGGGGGTGGGGAGTGGGTAGTATGTGTGTGTGTGTGTGTGTGTGTGTGTGTGTGTGAGAGAGAGAGAGAGAGAGAGACGAAGCTGAAGTCCCCTTCTTGTGCGAATTCTCCCGTTCCACCTTAAATGGTGCAGCAATTACATTCTGGCTTCATATTCTCCAGCTTGTTTGAATTTTCCCGTTCCACCTTAACTGGTGTAGCACTTGCATTCTGGCGTCCTTTTCGACAGCTTGTTGTTCGAATTTCCCCGTTCCACCTTAAATGGTTCCGCAGTTACGTTCTGGCGTCCTATTTTCCAGCTTCTTGTTCGAATTCTCCAGTTCCACCTTAAATGGTGTAGCTACATTCTGGCTTTCTGTTCCCCAGCTTGTTGTTCAAATTTGCCCGTTCCACCTTAAATGGTACAGCAGGTACATTCTGGCGTCCTATTCTCCAGCTTCTTGGTTCGAAAAGTTGCACGTAACTGCTGAACCATTTAAGGTGGAACGGGAAAATTCGAACAGCAAGCTGGCGAGTAGGACGCCCACTTCGGCCTCGTGAGGGAGAGAGAGGGGGAGGCTGAAACCCAGACGGCTCCCATTTTAGTGCGGCATTTGGGTGTAGGAGCCATTCTTTCGTGCAGTGCACTAGATAGGGAGTGCACATCCATTTGAGATCCAGCCAGGCCATGTGTGCGTGCTAGATAACCAGTGATTACGCCATCCTCCCTTTAGCTGCTCTCAGACCCAGTAAGGATTCCAGGGAGACCGATGACGTCACCCTCGTTGCCTGCAGCCTGCATTCTTTCATTGTACTTCGAAAACTGGGTAAAAAAAAACTGGTGATGCACTATTACTACACTTTATGTCCAAGTGTTTTTAGACGCCTTCGTTTCTTCTGAGTTCAAGGGTAGTAATAGGGAATTTGTCACCCCTTTGCTGCAGTAACAGCCTCTATTGTTCTGGGAAGGCTGTTGGAACATTGCTGTGAGGATTTGATTGAGCATTAGTGAGGTCAGGTACCGATGTTGAATGATCAGTTCTGGTTCACTCCAGCTCATCCCAAAAGTACTGGATGGAGCTCCATCAGTTCCACTGCTCCACTGCCCAATGCTGGGGGGCTTTATACCCCTCTAGCTGACGCTTGGCATTGGGCATGTTAACATTAGGCTCGTGGCTTGCTTTGGATCACAAACGCCACTGCTGCTCGCCCCAAAGGTCCTGGATCCCACAGGGATGCACCCATATGGGAACTGTGGGCTGATGCCAATATCCGATACTCTGTGTCTTATATCTGCAATAACGATACATAAATATGTATAAAATATATCAGCCCTGTCCACAAAAACACGCTTTATCTCTACTTTTTGGATTTTTTTTTTCTACGTCATTGCAGCACAGCAGCCGTCCTTCACATTGTGTCTAAATGTCATGATGGATGGACCAATAGAAATGGTCCGAAGTCACTTGGAAAATAAAAAAATATTACATTGAATTACAGTAAAAGTAAAGAACGTTTTTGCCTTCTCCTGTAAAGTTACCATTTTATATTAGCATTACTGAAAAATGTAACACTTAATTGTATAGGACAAGGCTGGATTACTGACCAGGTCAGGGGTCAGGAGGCCTCAGACTGCTCAAAAACTGGGGACAGTCTGCTGCAGATGCAAAAACCGGATGAACAAATAGCCTTTAAAAAAAGGTTTTAATTAGGTAAATGAAATAAAGGCCTCTCAGCTCATACCTTACCTTAATCAAAAGCCTCATAACAACTGAGAATGTGCTGAAACATAACTGGGCAGGAAATAATAGCACATTATTATTGCATGTTAATTGAGCAGCATTTTTCTTTGTTTACATTACACTGTTCAAAGCACACACTTATAAACACAAATCATTTTTCTATTTTTGTTCTTCATGTTTTGCATAGTTGTTAGTGTGTGACGCCCAGAGCTCTCATTAGACCATGATCCATCCCTGATAGAGGGTTACAGTGAAACGAATAAAATCCAGGCCTTTTAGTGCAGTATCTTAGCATCGCCTAAACTCACTGCAGTTCCCAAATACATACAGGATACATGGTTCTGGAATAATTAAGTAATCAAATATTAGTTTGAAATGTTGGTCAGATCTAAATATCTGTCCGATGCTGATATTTTTCTTAAGCAAATATCTGCCCATGTGATTCTGAAATCATTGTACTTTCGTATTAGATAGAGCTCCACTGCTCCACAGCCCAATGCTGGGGGCTTTATACCCCTCTGTGTCACAGTTGGCATTGGGCATGGTGACCTTATGAGCGTCCCATTCTATTTGCAGTGCTTTTCTGTGGAGATTTATACAAGCTGTTTATGTGCAAATGAACATCTGTGTCAGCGACAGGTGCACCCCAGGGCCAGCTGGGTACTTTCGGACATACACCGATCAGGCATAACATTATGACCACCTCCTTGTTTCTACACTCATTGTCCATTTTATCAGCTCCACTTACTATATAGGTGCACTTTGTAGTTCTACAGTTACAGACTGTAGTCCATCTGTTTCTCTGCATACTTTGTTAGCCCCCTCTTACCCTGTTCTTCAGTGGTCAGGACCCCCATGGACCCTCACAGAGCAAGTACTATTTGGGTGGTGGATCATTCTCAGCTCTGCAGTAACACAGACATGGTGGTGGTGTGTTAGTGTGTGTTGCGCTGGTATAAGTGGATCAGACACAGCAGTGCTGCTGGAGTTTTTAAATACCTCAGTGTTACTGCTGGACTGAGAATAGTCCACCAACCAAAAATATCCAGCCAACAGCGTCCTGTGGGCAGCGTCCTGTGACCACAGATGAAGGACTAGAGGATGACCAACACAAACTGTGCAGCAGAAGATGAGCTATCGTCTCTGACTTTACATCTACAAGGTGGACTGACAAGGTAGGAGTGTCTAATAGAGTGGACAGTGAGTGGACACTGCTGTGTCTGATCCACTCAGACCAGCACAACACACACTAACACACCACCACCACGTCAGTGTTACTGCAGTGCTAAGAATGATCCAACACCCAAATAGTACCTGCTCTGTGAGGGTCCATGGGGGTCCTGACCACTGAGGAACAGGGTAAAAGGGGTCTAACAAAGTATGCAAAGAAACAGATGGACTACAGTCTGTAACTGTAGAACTACAGAATGCACCTATATAGTAAGTGGAGCTGATAAAATGGAGAATGAGCATAGAAACAAGCAGGTGGCCATAATGTTGTGCCTGATCGGTGTATACATTTAATTCAGCAAGCACATTATAATAGATTTCCCTGGTCGAAGGGGTGGGGAGAGAAGTGGCTCCATGTTCAGACTGCTTGGCGGCACTGCACAACCACAGTGTATTGTGTGAGAAGAAGAGTTGAAAGCCTGCACAGTTCAGTGGCTGCGTTCCCTCTCAGGCACTGTCGTAGTGTAATGAATAGTTGATTATGACAGGGAAGTGTCCCAGCGCAGACTTGCACTGTCCTCTTTGTGACGTAACCCCAACATGGGACCTGCTCTGGGTATCAGGTGTTGAACAGCCTGGCCTAGGAAAGCATGTTTTTATGTCTTCTTCACATGGCCGCTTCAGCTCTGTCCAAAATAGTGTGCTAGACATTATGTCATGGAGAATACAGCTAACACTCTCCTCTCATCCTGGCTCTCTCACTGTCTGTCTTTCTGTCTGTCTCTCATCCACATGTGCATTATTCCAGCGCCCTTACACGCATATACTGAAACATCCCACACCCAACCTAGATTACGCTGCTGTGCAGGAGTCCCAAGGGCAGAGATCAGTGCTCAGAAATAACTCCATCCCCCTATCTGCAGGCACTGGGAAGACAGGGCTCCAGTTACTAAACCTGATTAATGCTCAGATCAGCAGAAAGGGGACAGAGAAACCCAAACCAGAAGTGTGAGTCACATCAGGCTCTGCAAAACTGCAATGCTTCGTTAAAAAAAGGAAACGAATATTGCTACACTCTATGTATATAATGAAGTCATTCCATGTGATTGCAGTACACTACATGAAGCCTAGGGGGCGATATAGCTTCAGTATTTTGTTGCACCATAAAAGAAGAATATATTTGTTGCAGATGGGACTTATAAGCTGCGTTCCAAAGCCTGGGCTGCAGCTGAGGTAGGGCCGGTCCTCAGTAGGACTGTCCTATGAAGATTCCTCCTTAGTAGACCGTTAGTCACACAAATGGATCAGTCCTAACGAGGCTGTGTGGTGACGTCACCAGAGCAGCGCGGAACTCCTGAGAGAAAATGGAGCCTGTTGCATTGAGTTTGTTGCTTTTTCATTTCTTCATGGAAATAGAGGAGGTGTTTTTATGTAGTACGATAAACTACATTAAACAAATACTTCTAAATATACATACATACATACATCATCTAAACCGCTTATCCTTCTGGGTCGCGCTGGGGTGCTGGAGCCTATCCCAGCTGTCATTGAGCGGAAGGCAGGATACACCCTGGACAGGTCGCCAGTCCATTGCAGGGCAGACAGACATACACAGTCACACACACTCACACCTAGGGGCAATTTAGCTTGTCCAATCAGCCTGACTGCATGTTTTTGGACTGTGGGAGGAAACCGACGCAGACACAGGGAGAACAGGCAAACTCCACACAGAAATGACCCTGGTCACCCAGGCCCTTCTTGCTGTGAGGCGACAGCGCTACCCACTGTGCCACCGTGCTGCTCTACTTCTAAATAGAAATAGGATATATGGACTATATACGATATATGGGCGAATGCTTTAATTAATCAGTCATTTTATACTTTATAAGGTAATGACGAATTTAAGTATGTGAACAAATTACAGTTTAAAACGAGCTCTGCTCCAACGGCTTTGTTTTCCACCATTTTCGTAGTGCTGTTTTTTTTCATGGACGATAGATTAATCAGTTATTGAAATAGTCATTAGTCGCAGCTGTACTGTAAAGAACCATTAAACAATGATCTTACCTCACATTAAGGCGTTCTCTAATGCAAAAGTGGGAACTTCTGTCTTATGTTAAGCTAAGCATAGTGGTTCAATTAGTCAGTTAATCGATGATCTCGTTAGTGCCCAATAGTGTGACAACATCTGTTGTAAAAGGCGCTATATAAATAAATTTGACTTGACTAGTGGCCAATAACTCATTAGTTGCAGCCCTACTCTAAAGAACCACCAAGGAATGATTATACCTGACATTAAGAGGTGCTCCAAAACAAAAGTGGGACCTTGTATTAGATATTAGGCATAATGGTTTTATTACTCGAGTAACTGCTCAACCAGTCGATGACTGATAGATTAATCGATTATGGAAATAATAATTATTGACTGTCGTACTGTATAGAACCGATAAGGAATGATTCTACCTGACATTAGTCAGACACAAAAGTGGGACCTTGTATCTTATATTAGGCATAATGGTTCAATTAGTCGATTATTTGATTAACTGGTTAAAGGCCAATAGCTTTATGAATTATAGAAAGACTTATTAGTTGCAGCCATCTTGTAAAGAACCACCAAGGAATGATTAAACCTGACATTAGGAGGTTCTCCAAAACAGAAGTGGGAACTTGTGTCTTATATTAGGCATAATGGTTTTATTAGTCGATTAATTGATCAACCAGTTAATGACTGATAAGATTAATCAGTCATGGAAATAATAATTATTTGCTGTCATACTGTAAAGAACCAATAAGGAATGATTCTACCTGGCATTACGCGGATCTCCAGGGCAAAAGTGGGAACTTCTAATATTAGGCATAATAGCTGAATTAATTGATTATCCGGTTAACCAGTTAATGGCTTATAAATTAATCAATTATAGAAATAGTGATTTGTTCTAGGCTGCAAATAACCATCCTGGAATGATTTAAGGGGCTCTCAAAGACAAAAGTGAGAACTTTTATGTTAATATACTTTTTATTACAGCTATGGACATGCTTTATTCAGGGTACAGTGACGGAAACCAGTGGATGGGCAGTAATTCTGCAGCATACAAGCTGTAGGATACTAGAATACCACTTGAATTTACCTCCTAGTGGTAAAGTACTACTATGCACTATGCTTAGCTACATCCCAGTGAGTCTCACCTGGTCATATGATTTGAGGAAGGAAATAATAAACTTCCATTAGTAATGACCTTGGTCCTTCCTCTAAGTGAAAGACTGATTCCTTTGTGGTCTGTGAATCATGGCTGGTAACCACTAGGCTGAAATTCAGGGCTTCCGGCCTACGTAAGAGACGGCTCGTAGCCTGAGGCTCTTTATTTAAGGACTCGCATCACAGAAAACTAAATTTTCCTGGCTTATTTGAAATGAGACTTATGAAAACCTAATTCGAAACCTAGCATCCACTGCCCACTCCATGCATTCCATATATATAAAAGCCAAGCTACAAAAACATTCATCACGGCTGTGATGTCGTAACCAGCCAATGAGAACAGAGGTCATTTACATAAACTTGTCTCAAAGGCGCAGTAACAAAAACAGCTTTATTGTAAGAGATAAATAAGAAGTTAGGAAATGCTCATTTAAAAAAGAATTACAGCTGATTTTGATATATAAAATCACATAAATAGACCTGTTTGGACCCATTTGAAAGCATATAACTGGAGCCTGGGCCCTGCAGTAGGCATCCGGAGTTGCCTTTATATAACCGTGCAGTGAGTGACTGATGTGTGGATGCTGGCAGACTGGTTGCTGTGCACACAATTAAATTAGTGCCAATGCTGATACGTCAAACCTGAGGCTGTAAACAGGAATATTTGTGAGCTGTACCAGGAAGGAGATGGCAGGGAGGCTTGCTAAAGGCCCGAAGCCCATTCTTTTGCCTTATTCAGCACTCTCCCCTTTCTCTAGTGAGACCAGTGGGAGTCACTATGCGCTTTCCCACAAGAATAAGCAGAGAAAGAATAATAGTTTTGATAGCCTAGCTGGCAGAGAACTTGGCTGTAAAAACCATAATGTCATGGAGTTTGAACCCTACAGTTGGCAGCTATAAGGCACTTTGGACAACTGTGTCAGCTCAACGAAATAGTCCTACTTTGGCATTGCTCTGATGTGCTTAGGACATCAAGATTTTAACTGGCTGCTATGGATTAGCCTACCTATTCATTTCAATGGCTTCTGCCTCCAAGTTAAGATTAAGTGACCCTTATTAGTCCCACAACGGGGAAATTTCACCTCCGCATTCAACCCAGTTAGATGACCTGTGTTCGTTTTAACCCACCAGAGACGCTTTTTGAACTGTTTTGCTGCTATGGCAAGCTCTGCCGCTAGATTTTTTCATTTTTGAGTGACCCTAGGGTAACCTGAATGGCATCGCCTCCACTCTTAGGGGAATTTTTTTAATTCTGCATAATTCAGTTGTTTGATTTGACGTGAAATGGTTCAGTGTAGAGAAACTTATAGACTCAGATTTCTTTACAGTGGTGGTGATAGGAACCAGGGGTCATAATGTCTACAACACAAATATAGCTGTCAGTTTACTGTCCAAAACCAACAGTGCACCTTAACGTGTCTTCTGTGTCTTTGTACGTAATGTTCATAATACCAAAATAGTGGTAAATCTTTCTTTTCTGCTTACTATTTTGCCTGAACTCACCCTACAGTCATACGCAAAAGTTTGAACACCCCTGGTCAAATGACATGTTTTGTTGATTTTCTAAGTGAAAATAACACACCCTTTACAAATGAACACACTTATATTTGATATTTTGCCGCCAATTTTAGTGCACAGTATTTATTTGCTTGCTTTATTTTCAGTTATTGTTATTTAATTTAACGTATTGGTAAAAACAAATGCGCAATGACATTTGCACAGCCCAGTCATAGGCTGGAGGGGCAGTTGTGGGCTGGAGGTTAGGGAACCGGCACTGTGACCGGAAGGTCACCGTTTTGATTCCCAGAGCCGACAGGACATGGCTGAAGTGTCCTTGAGTAAGGCACCTAACCCCCAACTGCTCCCAGGGTGCTGTGGATAGGGCTGCCCTCCACTCCAGGCAAGTGTGCTCACTGCCCCCTAGTGTGCGTGTGTGTGTGTGTGTGTTCGCTAGTGTGTATGTGGTGTTTCACTGCACGGATTGGTGAAATGCGGAGGTGAAATTTCCCCGTTGTGGGGCTAATAAGGGTCACTTAATCTTAATTTTTCCCCCAATATGTTAAATTCAGCAAATAAACAGAAGTGTTGACTTCTCTGTAGAAGTTGTGTTAACATATGTTCACTTAGATAACAAACAAAACAATTTTCCCAGAGGTGCCTGAACATTTGCACACAAATGTGCCTCTGTTCCATAAATGGATTAAAAAATAAATAGTTTTAGACCACAACCATCTCCACACTATCATAAAACCATGTTTTACGTGTAGGCAGCCCGTCACATGTAATAACGTTAACTGCTTCACTAACATTGTGACCAATTCTGGCTCTGTAAGTTTCTCTGGAACGGTACATTAGCATGAAACCGCTATGGATATTTTTATATTTATATGTCTACTTGTCTTAACCATTGAATTATGCAGAAATCTTGAAAAAAATCAGTGGAATGCCCCTTTAATCTGAGAAAGGTCAGATCTCAGCTGATCTCTGTCATTTCCAATAAATTTATTAGGTCATTTTACAATTAGTGCAGCTCTAAAAGCACAGCAGTGGGAGTTTTAATATCAAGAACTGCCTAATGATATGCCTTCAGATGATTTATCTCTTGAACACAGTTATCTCTGAATTATGTGCACACTGACTCACATTACTATCCTCCTGCACTGGATTGGAGTCAACTGTGCTGTATTACAAACTCATTAACACTTCACTATAGGTGGGGGAAAATGCATACAAGTGTGTATTTGCTGTGACTTGTGATGGGCTGTGTGTGTGTTTACAGCACGTGTGGAGTGAGAGCGAGGATTGTCTGCCATTCCTGCAGCTGGCCCAGGACTACATCTCCTCCTGTGGCAACAAAACCTTGCTGGAGGTCCTTGAAAAAGTCTTCAGATCCTTCAGACCTGTGAGTGCTCTGTGCCCCAAGCACACACACACAAACACACACGTTTGTCTTGCTATACATATGAGGACATTCATAGATGTCTACAGATTTTTGTGTTACTGTGGCTAAATAACACTACACCTAAACCTAACCCTAACCTTAACCTCAGTATCCAAAAGGCAATTTTTCTGCTCTTTTAGTTTTCAAATAAAAAAAGTAATTGTGGTGAAAACAACGCATGACCAGCAAAATGGCCTCACTTGAGCAAAAATTTCATGTAGTCCTATCATAGTGAGGACATGGGGTTTTCACAAGTATAGCACTACAAGATCACACACACACACACACAGGCTCATACTAGGGATGCAAATGTTGGCAAATTCTTTTCGCTGATAACCAATCATTATTAGTCAGCATTTAATCATTAACAACAACAACAACATAAGAAGTCAGAGATCTGACCTATTAAAATAAGTTATAAAACAGGAATGTCCAGATATAAAATCTAATTGGCAGTTGAATTAAATTTATTTTTATAAAAGCGCACACACAAAAATAAAATCTGTATTAATGCAGGAAGATATTAACCCCTTAACATTCCAGCCTTATTTCATACTAAGGCTCATTATTCAGTAACTACAGGGACTTCAGTGCAAACTAATGGAGCTTTTGTTAGGTTATAGAAGTGTGTAATAAAACTTGGCTTGGTAAGGGGTTAACAAAGGTTGCTGGTATGGACTGTGGAACATAATACTGATAGATCAGCCTGTATATGAAGTAAATGGCCTGAAACATATTAAACATACCCTCCATAAGAACCTAGTTTTGTTTAAACAGGGGGGCTGACAGCTGTGTTCACGATTATATGACCACATACTAAAAAGGTGACTGGAATATACAATGATGGGCTACTGAAAGCTCTATATTAAGGTTAAAAAGTTATATTTATCACTCATTACTAGCCCAAATCAAAACAAACATAAATGCCATGACCGGGTCTAGCTTTGGCTCAGTGGACCTCAGTAGCTCCCAATAGCTGTCGTCGTCCACCGGATCCTTCTTTATAATTTTAAGATAAGATAATCCTTTATTAGTCCCACAGCGGGGAAATTCTCAGTGTTACAGCAGCGAAGGGATAACAAGGCACTCAAGAAAAGACGTAACAATGAGAGAAGTAACAAACAAGTAATTAACCTTGTTAATTACTTAACAGGGTTTTTACAGTCTGTTATATGTTACTTTATAGACAAAATATATAATACTAAAAGTAAAAAATAAGATAAAAATACACAGATATTCACAAAAATTAACAATATAAAGAATTCTAAATAAATAAAAGCCAAAATATTTACACTGTAAGGATATTTTACCCGAATTTCACACAGAGTATTTTACTCACTCATGTATGATTCCATCACACGGCCATGCACCACATTTTTTGGAGAACATATTGTACATCGTGGAAGCTTCGCTATCATGCTCTCCAAAGCTGCACCACCCAACACCAATATTTTTAGCTGCGGTTTAACGGTTTATTGGTTAATCATACATCCCTTACTTGTACACATACAGCCTTGCAGTGAATGAAACTCTCAAACAACAGTTGCTTTATTTTAAATATCTTTTTATATCCCTTTTTATAAGACTGTGTGTACATAATATGCATAGTGTAATTTGTGTACAGTGATTTTTGTGTTAGCATTTTAATGAAAAAAACTGCATCCATATCATCTTCAATGCAACAGAGGGGCAAGTCTAATTTAATGTTTCCCCTCTACCCCCAGTCAGTTAACCAAGATACGTTTGCTTCTTTAGTTTCGCGGTGGAGCTGCAAGACTAATGAAGCTAACAAGTAATGGAACCTTATTTACACTAATTAGCATCGTGCAAACTGCATGCCTGAATCTTCACACACTTACTTCAGACCATATTGGGTTGTTTGAAGTCCCATATTGTAGACAACTGTATTTTCCTCACTTATTAGAAATAAGAGCTTAATGTAGTCTGTAAATACTGTTAAAGTTTTAGATTATACCATTTACTACGGATCAGACACACAGCCTGTCAGTGGACACAGCTTGCATTGTTTTTTGTTATAAAACCAGCATATTTACATATATCTATCTATACTGCCTGCAGTAGTTTAGCTCTACTCATTCGTGAAGTTATAATTAATGCTTTAGCCCAGTCTGCTTTGAAATACAGGGCAGCCAAAGACAACAAAGATCATTTACATATTGCCAACATCACACAAAAACCTTGTATCTCCATTTTCTTTTTTTTTTGTTTTTTCTTATATTTTTGTGTATAATTTGAAAACCCAAGTTAACATTTACATTGAGTTAAAATTTCATAATGAACGGACCAACAGAAATGGCCCAAAATTACATGGGGAAAAAAATTTACATTAACTTTAATTACAAGTTAAGAATGTTACCATTTTGTTCCAACAGCAATGAAAAATATAGTCGTAAAAGCAGAGTAACAAAAACAGACTGTTTTAATTAAAAGAGGTAAAAAAGAAATAGTTGTGTACAAATAAATTAGGATTATTTTTGGTACATAATAGTAAAAAATAACAAAAAAAAACATTATGAGCGGCTCTTTTTTTTTGGCTTCTAACACTATATGACGTTGTGTATTAAAAGAAGTTAAAAACAACAGCAGCAGACATTTTGAGACAAGTGTATTGTGATGTAGCCATGCGGTGAGCTGTAAGCTTCCATTACTTGTTAGCTACATTAGCCTTGTAGCTCCAGTGCTCACTAAAGATGCAAACTTCAGACACCATACATGTCTTGGCTAACTGAGTATGTTTAGAATAATGAAGGACAAACTGGTTAAAATAGATTTTTTAAGCAAATGTATGGAAAAAACGTCTCCTAGCATGAATATGATGTTGTCTTCTAGCTCCTGGGTCTTCCAGACATTGATGATGACACATATGAGCAGTACCATGCAGATGTGGAGGAGGAAGCAGAGACAGACCACCAGCAGATGGGCGTTAGCCAGCAATAATGCCCAGCGAGGCGGCTCGGCTGTGGGCCCACAATAACGCCCGGTGAAGGGGGCCTTTCTGTGGGCTGGAGTCCAGTGTTTCTTCCCTCTCTTTTTGCTTATTCCATGCCATTCTCACATCTCTGCTCTTTTATGAAACACACTATCCTTCTCTCTATCTCTCCCACACAAACAAGCGCCTGTTGAACTGCACCATTATGCCCTTTAATATGTAGATGGCTATGTCTCCCAAAACGAGCACTGTCGGCACACTTCACATCTGTCTTGTTTTCAACAGCAAGGCATATAATCCATATTATGCACATTATGCATTAACTCATGCATCAAGTGAGAATACGCAGACATCAGTCCAACACAACCCACAATTTCCCCAAATTTGTTTAGTTTCTGATTATGTGGGCTCATTAAACAACATTAAACTGGCCAAATGGCCAAGATCACTACTTTTTAATTGAGCCACCTAAGAGTAATGAATAGAGATTGTCTTTATGAATGTATAGACTTAGGAAGTCCTGATTGATTGCTGGTAAATAGGTGTTTGTAATGCCTGAGGCCAATCAGTGGTTACAAAGGTCAGAAGATATTTATCGAAACTGTTGGACTACTGATCTAAGGTTGAGCCTTTGTACTCCTAGTGAACCTCGTCATATGGACTGAATGGGAAAAGCTGACTCTAGATCAGTCGTCTTAGCTTGAGACACTCAACACATAATAGCCCCAAAGCAGAGACAATGTGATTAGATTTTTAGAGTGGATAGAGGTGCTTGCTGTAACTGTGGATACTCCTCTTATGGTCTTGACTAGTCTTTGTATTAAAATACACTGAATTGCCAGTATATTAGGCCCTATGGTCCCTTTCTGTTGATGAATGGGGTTGAGGGGGGCTGATAAATGCAACAGGTGGGCTATAGTGGGCTACAGTCTGTAACTGTAAACCTACAAAGTCCACCTATATGATAGGTGTTTCTGATAAAATGGCCAGTGAGTGGCCATGCACGATATGCAACACAAAAGTTAATTTTTGGGCAAGTTGGAAAGGAGGAAAAAAAAACCCAGCCCACATTTAAAAATACTATCAAAAATGATGAGTACAGTGATTTTTATTAAACGTTTTCACACTGGGCTGCACTAAATCCAGTTAAACTGGACAAATTCTCTTTGTGTTCTCTTTGTAATAAAACAGTACTGACAATATTTACGATATGCTCAGAAAAGCATATTGTGACGTAATTTATCACAATAGTGATAAATATCGTAAAAATGCCCACCCTGTAGGTTACAAGGTATACTAAGAAATATACCTAATAAACTGGCAACTCTGTACACTTTTTGGGCGTGTTTTTGCGCTTCTGCTGGAGTTTTTAAAGCCGTAGCGACTTCTTTTCTTCTTCCATGCTGCTCTGCTCACAGTTTAGCCAGGCAAAAAAGCTTGAATTTGTACTTTAAAGGCCCAGTCACACTGGCATTTGCGACCAGTATTTTGTGATTAAAATGACTTTTCAGTATGATTTGCATACACAGTGAGAATTTCGAGGCGAATAAATGTCCCGTGTGAAATTTTGACTCAAGGTCAGGTTTGAGGAGCTTTGAATTTGAGTCATTGCACTGCAGTTTTGAGGTCTGAAGGCGGTGCCCTTCGCAGTGAATAACCAAAATGGAGGAAATCCTCATTTAACCAGAGTCTAAGGCTGGGTGTGCACCACACGATTTTTTTGGCTGATTTCATCCCCGATTTGCCCCTTGTGATGAATTTTACAATCTGATGTGATTTTCCAGGTCGGGAGCTCTATCGGAAACGAACAATGGCGCGGATGATCTGGTAGCGTGAGCGGAGAAACGAGTGAATCTTTAGCCCTCCGATCGAACTCTGAAGTGATCGGAGGCCCTCTGATGTTTGATAATGAGTCAAGTGATTCAAAAAACAGCCAATCAGTGAGTTAGAAGAGCAGAGAAACAGGCAAAGAGCATACACATTGCCTGAAGAGCGGAGAACTGAGATAGAGGAGCTGTGCGTAAAACACAGGCAAATAAGAGCCGTTATCATGTTTATAATGTTGGATCCAGACGTCGAAGCACTCTTTTTACGATTTGAAGTCAGCTGCCAGTTTGTAGTGAGACAGTTCGCCAGCTCATAGTGTGATATCAGCGTTTCTCAGCCCCATATTAATCCCCAGTTTGCCCTTTCACTGCGCATAAAAGTACAGACAGGTCTGGTCCAGTACATTAAGCTTTATTTGCATCGTGTGATCTCTGAGGACATCTGGGAGTCTGTGTTCTTATTCATAGCCCAGACTCGTTATGTGTGTTATACTCTCTCGTTGCCTTGTTGTCTAGTGTGAGTGGCCTCATGACCAAAACACAAGGAATTCTGTGACAGATGGACGTTAAGTTTTTGACGCTCTCCGTTTTAGAAATCTGTTAGGATTTGAAAAGTTGTGCAGTGTACACCCAGCCTAAGCGTGACTTTTGAAACATTTCCTCCCTGCTGGCTATAAATAAACACACAAAAGAGCGACGGCATGATACGCCATGCTTTTTGTGATTTTACTGTTTATGGTAGGTGAGTTAGCTACTTGGCTAACCACAGCTCCACACAAGTCAGTCTACTGTTGACAACCCTGCTCATTATCTGCATAGTATTTGCTACAGATTAGTGTGTGACACTATACTGTCGCAAGTATATCCGTATCTGATAGAATTATGTTCACATTTGTGTTTTGATGCAGTTAGCTTGACCGCACCAAAACTGCACCAAAATGGAGGATTTTTTCACGGCCAATCTTCCGGACCAGCCTCGGACACGGCCGTTTTGCAAGGTGATGCAAACTGCAAATGTCTAGTATGACTGTGGCTTAAGAATGATACTCATTTTCTTTCTGCTGTTGATTTAAATGCATGCAGCACAATAAGCATGCTAGTAGTTCAGTACCCTCCAGTGATCTGAGGCTGTATTTTCAAGCCAGGGGCTATTGTTTAGGGATCACTTCTTATGCGACAGCATACACGATCAGCGCTGACTGAGGAGAATCTGATCTTAGATCAGCACTCCGTTTGCACTTCTTGACCACAGTCACTGGGCCTGGTCTGACTAGACCTTTTCAGTGTAATCACCGGCCTCACCCCATTCGACCTGGAACACGTTCAGAACGTTCCTGGAAAGTCGCCTCAGCACTGGTCAATGCAAGATTAACAGGAACGTCACATTTTGTTCGTGGACACCTTGCTTACATGGCTGTGGGAAGGGAAGTCGGTATGATCCTGCTGACCTCAGTGTGTTCAGTGCCCGCCTAATGCTGCCTCCATTTACCCCACCATAACCCACAACCCACCCTCCACAGGTACACTCACTGCTTCCATATCGTCTTCCTCGCCATGCTCAGTGTGCTGCCAGCATAGAGATAAATTGGTCCACATGTACTGAAGTCTGTTGTGAGGTCAGTCAGAGCTGCTCTTCTTTAATCATATTTATTTGATTGTCCAGCTTTATGTACTTCGTTCTGGATTGCTGTAAGCTTTTGCAGTTTACTTTTTAATTCCAACACCTCCTGTTAATACTATGCCACTTTTTAATGAGTTTTGCCTAAAGATGTAAGATTTTATAGTTTAACTACTCATGCTTTGTTATGTGTTTTGTTTTGTCCTCCAGTTTGTGTACGGTCCTAAATTATTAAACCATGTGGAGGTGATGATCTTCCAGCTTGTTGTGTTCTCTTTGTCACATGATAGAAAAAAGTAAAACATTATTGACAATACGTGCAATACTTCCAGTTTATTTGATTTAAATAAACAGGCAAGAAGCTTGGGTTGCTATGCAGATTCATAGCATCGCTGTCAGAGCAAAATCTTCATTTTTGTTGTTTTTTTTATGTTTATACATAATTTGAATGTGTCAAACTTTCATAATTAGTGGACCAGCAGAAATAGTCCAAAATTACTTGAAAATATATTTACTTCTATTAACATCCATTCAAAGTTATGAGGTTTTTCTCCTTCTCCTGTAAAGTTACTGATTTGGAGGTACAAAATTGGTCCCAACAGTGATGTGTGAAATTCTGATAGTATTGCATGTAAGGTTTATCATACACTATATGAACAAAAGTATTGGGACACCTACACATTACACCTTCAGGAGCTTTTATGACATTTCATTCTAAATCCATAGGCATCAATATGGAGTTGGTCCCCCTTTGCAGCGATAACGGCTTCCATTCTTCTGGGAAAAGATTTTGGAGAGTGTCTGTGGGAAGTTTTACCCATTTATCCAGAAGAGTACCTGTGAGGTCTCTTGTAGTTCCATCCCAAAGGTGTTTGATGGGGTTGAGGTCAGGGCTCTGTGAGGGTCAGTCAAGTTCTTCCACACCAAACTCACCCAGGCATGCCTTTATGGAGCTGCTTTGTGCACTGGGGCTCAGTCATGCTGGAACAGAAAAGGTTCTTCCCCAAACTGTTCCCACAAAGTTGGAAGCGTTCAGTTGTCCAAATAGTCTTGGTCTGTTGAAGCATTAAGATTTCCCTTCACTGGAACTAAGGGTTCTAGGCCAACCACTGATAAACAGCCCCATATCATCATCCCTCCTCCACCAAACTTTACAGCTGGCACAGTGCAGTCAGGCAGGTAACGTTCTCCTGGCTTTCGCCAAACCCAGACTCATCCATCAGACTGACAGATAGAGAAGCGTGATTCATCACTCCACAGAATACGTTTCTGCTGCTCTAGAGTCCAGTGGCGGTGAGCTTTACACTGACAGTGGGACTGAACGAAACACCTGAATTCAATGATTAATGCTTTTGGTCATGTGGTGTAATTTGAAACTGATATATCTACAATTTAGTAATACAAAAAACTGACAGGAATATAAAATATAAGTAAATATGAAACAACATGTAAACATGTGGTTTAAATCTTAAATTTATCCACATCTACACTAGCACTGAAAAATTGGGAATCACAATTTGAAAGTTTAAGATTATTGTTTTCAATGATAATTTAAAAATGATTCTAATATGATGATTTCAATTCGTTAGTAGGAAGCTTTGAAAAAAAATGTTAGGTGTGTCCAGAATGATGAACAGAGGTTTAGATTATCGTATAAAGATTGAGAAAGCTGTAGAACATTAAAAAAGGTTATGTAATATAATTATCCAGAATGTCTCATATTACAGATGTGGTGATCACATCTCAAGTAGATAATGTAACAACAAATAACTGTAATTACAGTATATTATTAATCATTTAATAGTTTTTTTGGTGTTCTCAAACACTGAACCAATTAAATAAAACATCTTGAAATGTCTTCTGGTGTCTGTCTCATAGCATTTATACACTGTGTAAGTTAATACAGAACAAAATTACAATAATTATTCTAAACCTTTGGAGCGCTAGTGCACATAAACAGAACCTAATCAGTTTTAAAATGTGTCTTATGTAGCTACACACATATAAAATAAACAAAATAATGGTTGCAGAATAGTTGCATGCACTTCACATGTTTAAAAACCTGTAACATAACAGGAATAAAGTGATTGCACATGAAGTAATATGAAACTGTGAGCAAGTGTGACATTGTGAATTTTCGATCACATGATATGATGCACCATGAAATTACACATGTGGAAAGTGAGTGAATGAATAATGATACAAGGAAAAAAGAAATAAAATGACATGTGCTTCACATGTGGAAGGCCCACGTGTGGAAAACGGGTGTAAAAAATAATGTGTGAAGTGTCTAAAAACACATGATCATGAAAGTCATGTGACGTTTGTGTGAGGAAAGTACAGAATAAGGTTTCAACATGCCTACATGATTAAAATATGAAATGAGGTGTATAGTGAAATACAAACTACTGTAAACTAATAATAATAATAACAATAATAATGAACTACTATCTGCTACAACCAATGTTAGAACAATAATTCAGCAGAGAACAATCATTAAAAACACGACAGTTAAACACCAGGCTTGATTTACATTATAACAGTGAAATAACTAAATAATGATAGATACACTCAAGGAGGGAAGTTGGCCTGTAAGGGCCTTTTATAATAGTTCATATGTATCAGCCTTAAAGGTGGCATTCCAGCCTAAAACTGCCAATGAATATGTTATTTATCATGTTATGTAATAATCTGCAGTGCAGCCCTCAGCCAAGTCAGTCTGACACTGTTCACAAATTTGTCTTTTTTTAGAGTTTTTGTTTATCAGTGTTCTCTCACTACAGTACCCAGCATGCATTAGAAAAATACATCTTTCAACCACTGGGAATCCCTGTGGTGTCAACCAATTATGACTGCTAATGAATACAACCAAGCTAGCATGTGTGTAACCCTGTCCTTAGTCACTGAACAAAACTGTAAAGAAACCAGTCATCCTATCTTTATTTGATGGACGCCAGAAACAGGTTTACAAAAATAAATAAATAAATAAATAAATTTCAAAACAGTTTGGCCCCAAAGCATTTTTTAAAAAGGTTCATCCCAACTTCAAGACGCATCATCAGAAGGTGATTTTCCTAATCTTTAAATCAAAAAATATCACTCTACAGACTACTGGGGCACCATTATACCAGATAGCAAGAGCACAGCAGGCCCGCTGTTGGCCTGTTGATGTGGGGGGTTGATGACCACTGACAACCCTTTAAAGAAAAGCTGTAACAGGTCCGAAAAGAGGTCTGTGGAGACGGTGCCATTGTAGCTGAGCTCGCTAACCCTCCTCTGAGGAGCTGCGAGTGAATCAAGTGAGTCAAACTAAACAATGCAGGGCATTATGGGTATAACCTATCATTGGTTGTACACTACTTATTGTGGTGCATTGTGGGTTTGTTTGAGTGCACTGTGTTTCCGGACATCACTACAAAATGGCAGAAACCAAAAAATAGTGCACTATTTAGTGTACTGGGCGCAGTTTACGTATCACAGAAGATCCAGTGCACTCAATTTTACTGTACTTAATTAGTTTTTTTTGTGTATCTTTGTACTTTACTGAAGTTTTTCCAGTTTGGGCAACTTTTTACTTTTACTCCACTACATTTCAAAGTCAAATATCTTACTTTTTTCTCCACTACATTATGAGAAATCTGTCGTTCCTTTTGGTTTATGTGTGTATAAAAACAAAAGAAGCGCAAAGCAAGAACACCAATCAGGGCACAGCGCACACTTTGTTTTGAGCTTGTTTTGACCTGTTGGACATACCGACCCAGTGCAGCATATGGTTCAACGTCAGTGCAGCAGCGTAAAATTTTGGGAGAGTCTATTCAACATAAATGATGGAACTAAGCTAACTTTGTGTAAATAGACCACAATATAGAAATATGTACACATATGCAGTTGTGACTGACGTGTCTTTTTTCTAAATTTATACAAACTCTATTTCATTTAATAGTAAATTTGTTTTGACTAGTTTATGTTTATGAACAGAGACCTACAGATGCAGTTTAGTAAAGGAAAACTCATTTGTGAACCTGAGTTTAAAGCAAGTTTTTATTAAACTCAAAATTGTAACTAAGTTGCAAATAAATCTTAAACTGAAACTTTGCTTGTTCGCAAAAGGTGATTTCAGAGCCACTCAGTTCTACATAATGGAAACTGTTTGCCTTCAGTGTTTTGTGCTTATGATAATTTTAATAGACATCAGCGTCACTAATTAATGACATTCTATTAAAAGACTGGTTCACCAAGAATGACACTGGAGTATTCTCACCTAAAATGAGTTAATGAAGAGTCATGTTACAAAAGCGGTAATAGGACATCAGAGTCATAATTAATCTTTTAGTACTTTTACTTTTGATATTTAAGTACATTTGAAGGCAAATACTTTTGTACTTTTACTCAAGTGGAGGTCTAAAGGGAGGAACTTCTATTTTTACTGGAGTAATATTTTACCTTGGGTGTCTTTACTTTAACTCAAGTACATGGTTTGTCCACCACTGTTTATAACGCAAAGACGGAATCGTGCATTTTTTTTGTTGTTTTTTTTTTTTTTTCGAAAAATTGGTGGAATTCCCCTTTTTAAGGACTTGGCAAGTGAGAGAGATAAGGGCGCTTCGGCCTTGGGGGCGCGGTCGTGCGCTGACGTCACCCGACGCCAATAAAGGGGGCGGGGCGAATGGGGCGCCGTTCACGCGGCGCTTAATCTGCGTCTCGCGCTCCGTCTGCACGAGCCGGTTTGGGTGGCGGTTAGTTTACCAACACAGGTCAACTTTGCTGAGAGGAGCCGTTAGACATGAAGCGTCTAACGGCGCTAGGAGCGGCTTCAGTTCGGACAGAGCTCTGTGTTTAGTCTCGTTTCGAGTTGTCCGGTTGTGGAAAGCCCGAGCAGGCCTGCTGGAAACTTCACTCACCGAAGAGCAACAAGTGTGCTGGAAAAAACACTTTATTCAGCCATGACAGTTCACCAACTGCCGTGTAGACCGCTGGACCTTTTTCTCCTCTGCGGCTCTGTTTAACCTGTTTAACGGTAGCGAGAACCAAAGCAGCCCTTTATTCCGTTTTGAGTGCCCTTCGTAGTTTTTAAGTGCGAAACAAACTTGAGGATAACAAAAAAAAGCTCAGCCATGGGACCCAAACAGAGCAGCCCGGCGGCGAACGGCCGCGTCCGGGCTTACTCCGGCTCCGACCTGCCCTCCTCCACCACCGGCGGCGGCTCTGGCAGGGCGGCCGTGCTGAGGTACTACGCGAGCGGAGCGGGGAGTCAGCCG